TTATACTTTGACAAAGGACTTGTATTCAGGATATATAAAGATTTCCCAAAAGTCAAAAAGAGAAGGACAACAAGACAAGAACAGACAATCTAACAGAAAAATGGGCAATAAACTAGAACAGATGTATCACAGAAGAGGCTATCCAGATGGCCAATAAACATGAAGAGATGCTCAATTCATCATCAGGGAAATACAAAATAAAACATAATACAATACAAGCATCCTCCAATTGTAATGAAAAAGAATCAATATCATGGAAAGACAAAAAGTACCAGGTATTGGCATATTTCCCCCAACGTCTCCTAAAGCGGAATACAGACACCTTCTATGACCAGCATAGGCATATACCCAACAGAAACATGTATATGTGCTCATCAAATGCATGTACGAGAATGTTCCCAGCAGCACTATCTGTAGTGCCTCTGAACTGGAAACTATCCAAACGTCCATCAGTCATAGGATGGATAAACTGTCATGGAACAGACGGCTATAATGCAAGAAACATGAGCGAATGACAACTGCCCAAATCAGTGTGCTGAATCCCACATGCAAACACACACCAAAGAGAACATACTTCATCTCCCATGTATGTAAGTCAGAACAGTGGTTACCTTGGAGTATGGAGGCCAGAGGAGGCACAAAGGGGCTTTGGGGTGCTGGGGATGTCAATTCTCAACCTGGATGCTGGTCACACAGTTCATGCGTAAAAAAAATTCACATTGTACTATATGATGTAGCCACTTTTCTGTATGTATGCATGTTATATTCAGTAATATATTTATTTTAAGACACCATTAATGAAAAGGCAAGCTGAGAGTAGGAGGAGATATTTGCAACACAGAAAAAATATGCCAGTACATATATCATTTAGCTCTTTGCCTGCATTCTAAATTAAGGGCTTTGCCTTTTAAAATCTCTTCATCCTCCTCTAACTATGCATTTTTATGTGTTTCTATAGATATGTATAATTTGAAAATAAATTACTTTTTGTATTTATTGAACAGGTTTTCCCTCATTACAAACTTTTTAATGCAAATGAGTGGAAATTCTGCTCTTTCTCTGGGGAAATTTTTCAAATTATTTATGTTCCTCTTGGTTCCTTTTTTCCTCTGGTTGAAGGATTTGATATATTTCTTTTAAAAACTCTTTATGTTTACCCGATAGTCTTCATTTCTCTTTCTCCTCCTTACATTATCACAAAATGCTGGTAACCCAGGAGATTCGTGCTGTCAGCATCCCCCACCATGGTTTGATTCAAGAAGAAACTGAGGCCTTCAGTCCAGCTACATGATCGAGGGGTATGGATACCCCTCATGGAAGAGAGGGAGAAAACCTGGATTCCTAACAATCCAGTTCAGCCCCTTCCAATGTCATAACCACCTTCTAACATCAGTACGATATTTTTATAAACGAGTATTTAGAGCAAGTGACGCTACATCACAGCAGGCCACAGCGTCTGCAGACAGCCCCACAGCGCCCATTCAATGAGGCACTCCTCACAGCAGCTTTACTGTGCCCACCGGAGCGCCCCAGACAGCCGGGCCTTGTGAAGCTCCTATTCCAGAGGAGACAGGCAATAAACAAGCCGCCAAAGAAGCCAGATAATGTGAAGGAAGTAAACTGGAAGAGGGAGGAGAGAGTGACTGGGGAGGCCCCGCCAAGGAGGCAACATCTGGAGTGAGAACAAACCCGTGCCAGAGGGAGCCAGGAAGGTGGCTCCAGAGAGTGTGGGGCTGGGAAGGGCTTCTTCTGGGGTCAGGGAGGGTCCATGTGGCCAGAGGAAAGGCGGCAGGGCTAGAAGGGGGGTCCCGGCCGGCCGGAGAAGGCTCTGACTGAGAGCCGCAGGAAGCCACTGAGGGGTTTTAAGCAAACAAGGGACATGATCTGCTTTGTATTTTAAAAGATAATCCTAACAGGTAAACCTAGTGTGGCATGCACATACAATGGGATATTATTCAGCCTTAAAAAAAAAAGTGGAAATTCTGACAGAAGCTATAACCCTGAGGATATTATGCTAAATGAAATAAGCCAGTCACAAAAGGACAACTACTGTGTGAATCCACTTACCAGAGGGACCCGGAGTACTCAAGTTAGTAGAGACAGAAAATAGAATGGTGGTTGCCAGGGGCTGGAAAGAGAGGAAGGGGAGTTATTCTTCAAAGTGTTCAGAGTTTTCATTTGGGAAGATGAAAAAGTTCTGGAGACAGACTGTGTTGACGGTTACACAATAATGTGTGTGTAATTAATGCCACCGAAGTGTACACTTAAAATGTTAAAAATAGTAAATTTTATGTTCTATATACTTTACCACAATAAAAGAAAAACCTTTTAAAGATAATTCTGCCTGCTGTGAAGAGGATGAACAGCAGGTTTGGGGCTTCAGAGAGGAAGCTCAGAGACCTTTGAAGATTGAAGTATTGAGGGCAGCCGATCATTCAGGACTTGACCGTGGATTGGACTGGGGAGAAGGGGAGGGACAGGTCAATATGTTTGAGACCTAACAAAAGACAGTAACAGAATCTGAAATGGAGTAACTAGAAAGCATTGCAAAATAAGTTGTGCTAGTGTAGTATTCCACGTTTTCATTTTCAGCATTGTCTTTAACATTGTTGTATTATACATCTTTTTTTTTTTCCAGCAAGGTCTTAAAACCCGTCACAGAAAGCCACTTACAGCTCCAAGTGCAGACTGTCTGAGCTCGCAGGATGCCGCATCAGACCCCCGTCCACAGGGCTGTGTTCCACTGCGTTTGATTCGGGAGCTGACTGCCGGCTCTCACCTGACAGTAAAGGGGAGTAAGTCCTGTTCTGAGTGCTAGAAAGCACTTGTGGGTGCTTTAGGAAAGCGATCTCAAAGAATCCTGGAGATCACTGTATGGGGCAGGGACTACAGTCCCTATTTTACAAATAAGAGACATGGTGAGCCTTTCAGAGGTTGATTAAGCTGTGAATCTCTGCCGCCTACAGCTGGCAGAATGGGCCCTGCCCACCAGGCAAATGCAACTATCTCCCAGTAGCCCAAGGTGGATTCTTTTTCATTTTAATATTTATTTACTTATTTATTTGGCTGGGTGGATCTTAATTGCCACATGCAGGATCACTTTAGTTGAGGCATGAGGAATCCTTTTTTATTTTTAGTTGAGGCTTGCAGGATCTTCAGTTGTGCACTCCTAGTTGTGGCCTGTGGGACCCTGCTCCCGGACCAGGGATTGAAGTCGGGTCCTCTGCATGGGGAGCGCGGAGTCCTAGCCCCTCCATCACCAAGGAATTCCCGGTGGATTCTTAAGGCAAAGCAGAGGGGATGGACACTGAGCTACATCCTACCAAAGGAGGAAAGAGGTGTGAAAGGGGTCTCATCCTGAAATGCTCTGGGCCCAATGGGGGAAGACAGGAATCAGGGGTCCTGAGGGCCTGGGTCTCCTCTGACCGGTTTGTCTGAAGAAGCTGTGCCGGCCTGGCCTCAGGGGTCCTCCAGGGCACCCCCCTATCAGACTGGGCTCGGGGAAAGTCAGTGGACAAGGCCCGAAGGTGGATGGAAAGCATGTAGGCTCAAAGTCCTTCATCCCCAGCTCAGCCCTCCAGAGCTGTGTGCTCTGGGGCTGGTCATTTCCTATTTGTAAGCTTTAGTTTCCTGTCTGCAAAGAGGATGATAACAACATCTACTTGGAAGGGTTGTGATGAGGAGCAAATTAGATAAAGTATTTGAACATTGTTTTCAAAGTAGATTTGTCTGTTTCTTTGGGAAGTCCTGGGAGGCTCTGTTATGGGGGCAAAAGGCAACAGCTAAGCGTCCCCATCACCACCAGCCTGGGCACCGCCAAGGGACTGGGAAGGACTTTATGAATCATGTGTGGCCTGCAAATACTACTTCTTATTAAGCACTCCCTCAGTTTATATTCATTTTTTGGTCTGGGATGGAGGATTATCTTTTAAAGCCCAGGCTCCCAGTTGCCCCCCAGTGACCCTGACTCACTCTGCCAGATGGAATGATTGATTCCTCCATTTTTGTGCCATGTCGCCCATGAATATGCTTTATTATTGTATGTTCTCCATAGAAAACTGCTGTAACCACATGGTAAACATTCACTGTGGTGGCTGGATTTAAGCTCTATGAGAAAGGCATCCCTAAGAGCAGAGTGCAGGGCAGGTGTTCAACCTGTACTTTTTGAACAAAATCAAGACAAAGTGACATATTCCAGCAAAGAGTCATAACATGTTTCATATTATAAAAATTATTAAAAAAATTATATGTTTATATACATATACACACAATGGAATATTATTCAACCATAAAAAGAAGGAAATCCTGCCATTTTTGACAACATGGATGGACCTTGACAGCATTGTGCTAAGTGAAATAAATCAGAGAAATACAAGTACTGTATGATCTCTCTTATACATGCAATCTAACAAAATAAAATAATGACTCGTAGATACAGAGAACAGATGGGTAGTCCCCGACCAAAAGTAACCTGATCCTAGATCATAGAATATTTAGGAAATAAATGAGGTTGGGGAGAAGAGGGGGTGATCTGTTTCACAACCTCCAGTGATCATGTTGGTAAACATTAACCTGTATTTCCTTCCAGTCATTTTTTTCCTAGATAAGCTGTTTTTACATTATTATAAAATCACAAATTACATAATAATTTTGTAATCTGTATATGCCATTTTTATGTCTGGTCTCTTTCAACATTATAATGTTACAATATTTCATTCTTACATTGCAAGGTCATTTTTCATTCTTTTTTTCCCCCACTTTACTCTGTTCTGGCCTATCCATTTTTCCAAAAATCATATTTCCAAAATACCAATATAAAGAATTAATGTCTCAAAGCTCTCAAAATTGCTTTATCAAGAAACCTTGTTTTTATAAATTGACTCTTATGTAGAACTTCAATATATGAAGAGATAGTATTTTATTCAAATAAAATCGCTTTTGAAGTCAAAGGCCTGGCATTTGTTTTTGATAACATCAGTTGATGTGCACACTAAGTCTATTTAGATGAAGACAAAATTGGAGCCTAGGGGTATATTACAGCACCTGAGGAGCCACAGAATCACAGCACCCTGAACATCAGGCATTTTGCGGTGGCTCCACAGAGAAGGGGACAGACCGGCCAGCTCCCCAGCAGCCTGACTGCTGGGTTTCCCTCCCCTAGCTGTGCCCACTTGGGATTTCCAGGCAGTCCCAGGTGGTGGTGTAGTCGCTAAGTCATGTGCGACTCTTGGGACCCCATGGACTGTAGCCTGCCAGGATTTTCTGACCATGGGATTCTCCAGGCAAGAATACTGGAGTGGGTTGCCATTCCCTTCTCCAAGGAGCCTCCCTAATTCCATCAAGTGAGCCGAGGGAAGTGGCGTCTCTAAGGGACCCCGGCTACCTCTCTAAGGGACACCCATCTGCCTTGACACTACTTAGGGTGACTTGGGGGACTGACTTTAAACAGAAGTAGCCACTTATCTCTGATTTTCCAGGGCAGAGGAGTGGGTTTTTTCCCCTGCCACTCCCAGCCTGAGGTCTCCCTGCTGCCCCCATTTTGCTGTCTGCTCTTAGTCTGTGGTCGAAACTCCCTGCAACCTTTCTGCAGAGAGAAGGAAGAGAAGATGGTGTATTTCCTTGTGTCTCTGTGTTTGGGGACCGAGAAGGCTATAGGCAGAGGCCTCTTTTGCTGGCTGATGTAAGGGCAGTGCACACAGTTCCCACTAGAGTGACCTGAGGATGCCAGCAGAAATAAATATGGCAGAGGTGTACAAAATACAGCTGTACCTGCCTCTCCTATTTTTTATTTTTATTTTAGGCTCCGCCGCTTAGCATGCAGGACCTTTGTCCCCCACCAGGGATCAAACCATGCCGTTGCATCGGGGGTGCGGTCTCTTAACCACCGGATCGTCAGAAAAGTCCCAATTTTTTTATAACACAAAAACAAAGCAGTTGTTACTCAGATTGGATACTCAAATTCCTCCATCAGAAAACAGCAAGCGATTAGGAAAGAGCTGTTGAAAAGTAGCAGTTTTCTGGGATATTCGGCAAGGCTGTGTGCGCGCGAGTGATCGATCGCTCACCGTGTTCAACTCATTGCAATCCCTTGGACTGTAGCCAGCCAGGCTCCTCTGTCCATGGAATTATCCAGGCAAGAATACTGGAGTGGGTTGCCATTTCCTTCCCCAGCGGTTCTTCCCCACCCAGGGATTGAACTCGTGTCTCCTTCTTTGGCAGGCGGGTTTTTACCAGAGTCACCGGCAAAGCCCGCATTCAGCAAGCCTATACAAGCTGAAGTGAAATACGGGAATCCCAGGGTCAGAAAGGACAGAGCCTTCTGGTCAAGTCAGGCCAGCTGCCTTCTATCTGCCACGCATCTGTCACCTCACCTCGGAGCAGGTCCCGGCCTGCCGCTGCTCCTGCTCGCATTCGTTGGTGACTAGCGCCCTCTACGGGCAACAGGAAAAGTCTTTCTTCCTCCACAAATTGGCAGCGTTTTGTTGCTTGGCAGGTGCTGAGCAATTGAATCCCTTTCTGTAGGGTTGCCCTTCCTGCCCCGACTTCACCTATTCAAAAAATTTAATAAAATACCAGAATATTTTATTTTGATAAAATATTCAGTTCCAGTCATTTTCCACAACGACCTTCAAAGGCACCCCAAGTCTACAAGCAAAGGTTTCAAAGGTACGCCATGGGATATGCCATGTAATCTACCGATGGATGGCAAATATACTTGGAATTCTATTTATTGCTTCATAAAACACATATTATGGCAGTAGTACATTTATTCATTCAGTAAATATTTTGGGGGCAGCTTCTATGTACCAGGCTTTAGCAAAACAGACAAGTATTTCTGCCCTAATGGAGCTTATCTCTATGGTAAGCAGGGGTGGGGGGTGGGGCACAACATATAATAAACAAGTAAAATATATAGCATGAAATTGGTACTATGAAAAAGAACAGAGAACAGGCAGGAAAGAAAGATAAGGATGTCTATGGGGGGAGGAGTAGCTGCTATATTAAATTAGAGAAGTGAGAGGCACACCTGTGGACAACCACAGACAGAGTGTTCCAGAGAGGAGGAAGTGAGTACAGAACTGTGGAAGCAGAGTGTCTTTGGTGGATTCGGTTTATCCAAGCAATAGCAAGGAGGCTGCCTTGGCTGAGATGGAGCGAGGCAGGAAGAGACAAGGTCAGAGCCGGGTGAGGGTATAGACTGTGAAGAGGTTGCCAAGGATTGTAAGTAAGCCCTTGGGCTTTTTAGTCAGAGGCAGATGGAGCTCTAATTAAATGAGTGATATCATCTGGGGTGCACACCCCCAAATGTTTTACTGATAGATGTGCACAATCAACAATGTTCAGAAACTGTAGGTCTGCAGAATAAACCCTTAAGATGAGCCCACTGTTTCCTTTCACAGAGACCCACAGTTGGAGGAGGTAATGTGAGCTGTCTGGAAAGATGAGAACTTCAACAGGCAGAGACCTGACAGGCCTCCCTAGACTGTCATTCCTATCCTTGAAGGGTAGCAAGTGATCTAGTTGTAAACTGAGATATCCAGCCCTGGGGGCCTTCTCAGTACTGAATGTCCGTTTTATTTGTCTACACTCCTAATTCCTCACTTCTTTTCCTTACTACTTGTGATTCCTTACCTGGATCAGACTTCTCCCCAGAAACAGGTCAACCAACAGATGGCTGAGAGCGAGGGTCTGTGTGATATGGTGCCACCTTCTCCACGTTCTAGTTCAGACACACAAGGAGTGTCATGAGGTTGAACAGTTGGTACCTTACTGATTTTGATCAGAGCCAGCCTAGAATTGTTAACATCTGCTATTAAATTATTGAACTTTCTGGGAGGCACTTTTGATTTAGAAAATCCACTAACAGGGACTGGTTCAGGATGGTAAGCTGAGGACACACACTTAACTCCTTACCAACTCCCACTGAAGTGATTAAAGGAATACAAGGAAATTCTGTAGTAGTACTAGAAATGAGGAAAAAGGTACTAACAATCAAACTGTGAGCAAGTAAAACTGAGTCATAGAAAGACAAATTCATAATCTCTTATATGTGGAACACTAAAAAGAAAATCAAACACTAAAAAAGAAAGGTTACCAGAGGTAGAGGGTGGGGAAGGGAGAACTAGAGGAAGATAGTTAAAAGGTACAAACTTAGAATTAAAAAGTACTAGGCTGTGATAACCTATGTAAGAAAAGAATCTAAAAAAGAATGAATACAAGTGTGTGTATAACTGAATCTCTGCTGTAAACATGAAACACAACATTTAAATCAACTCTACTCCACACAGCTGTGTGGTACGTAGGAAAGTTAAGAGAATAAGTCCTGAAGAGTTCTCATCACAAGAGTATTTTCCCTTTTTTTCTTTTTATTGTATATATTTGGGAAGACAGATGTTAGTTAAAACTATCGTGGTCATCATTTCACAAAATATGTAAATCAAATCATCATGCTGTATGTCTTCAACTTAAACAGTGATGTATGTCAATTATTTCTCATCAAGCGGGGGGTAGGGGGGGAGATTAAGCCATTGAAATGAACCCCAACAGAAGCCCATTACCATCCCACACGTGCACCAGTGAAAGCTGGACAAATAAGTCTAGCTTATTTGTCCAGCCACAAATAATGATGTCAAGACAGTCTCTGTGCATTGTGAACCTCCTTACTTCCTTTAATGCTACAAGGGACAATTTCAGAATTATGGGTTTTTTTACTTTGCCAGTGAAGGTCTACATGCTGTGGGGAACAGGGTGAGGGCTGCTCACACTTCCACACTAAATGAAGCAGTGCACAGCCTGAACTGGCAACTGAAGGGCATAACCATGCCAATCAGGAAAGAGGCACCAGCCAGCCAACTCCATGTTGCCACAACAGAAAAGAAAGTCTCTGGACATGGTTGCCCAAATCACACAGATACAAGAACCTCTAATCTGACAAAATAAATCTTCCACTCAATCTAAACTCTCCCCTTTCCCTTTATAGAGTGTGCTTTTTAAGATTTGCACAGGGGACTTCCCTGGTGGTCCAGTGGCTAAGAATCCACACTCCCAATGCAGGAGGTCTGAGTTGGATCCTTGGTGAGGTAACTAGATCCCATACGCCACAACTAAAGATCCTGCATACCACAACAGAGATCAAACTGTCGCAACTAAGACCCGGTCACAGTCAAATAAATATTAAAAATATAATCCACGAACCTACGGACACCTTATCTTCGACAAAAGAGGCAAGAATATACAATGGAAAAAAGACAACCTCTTTAACAAGTGGTGCTGGGAAAACTGGTCAACCACTTGTAAAAGAATGAAACTAGAACACTTTCTAACACCATACACAAAAATAAACTCAAAATGGGTTAAAGATCTAAATGTAAGACCATAGACTATAAAACTCCTAGAGGAGAACATAGGCAAAACACTCTCCGACATAAATCACAGCAGGATCCTCTATGACACACCTCCCAAATATTGGAAATAAAAGCAAAAATAAACAAATGGGACCTAATGAAACTTAAAAGCTTTTGCACAACAAAGGAAACTATAAGCAAGGTGAAAAGACAGCCCTCAGATTGGGAGAAAATAATAGCAAACGAAGCAACAAAGGATTAATCTTAAAAATATACAAGAAACTCCTGCAGCTCAATTCCAGAAAAATAAATGACCCAATCAAAAAATGGGCCAAAGAACTAAACAGACATTTCTCCAAAGAAGACATACACATGAAAAGATGCTCAACATCACTCATTATCAGACAAATGCAAATCAAAACCACAATGAGGTACCGTTACACACCGGTCAGGATGGCTGCTATCCAAAAAGTCTACAAGCAATAAATGCTGGAGAGGGTGAGGAGAAAAGGGAACCCTCTTACACTGTTGGTGGGGATGCAAACTAGTACAGCCGCTATGGAGAACAGTGTGGAGATTTCTTAAAACACTGGAATTAGAACTGCCATATGACCCAGCAATACCACTTCTGGACACACACACCAAGGAAACCAGATCGGAAAGAGACACGTGCACCCCAATGTTCATCGCAGCACTGTTTATAATAGCCAGGACATGGAAGCAACCTAGATGCCCATCAGCAGATGAATGGATAAGGAAGCTGTGGTACATATACACCATGGAATATTACTCAGCCATTAGAAAGAATTCATTTGAATCAATTCTAATGAGATGGATGAAACTGGAGCCCATTATACAGAGTGAAGTAAGCCAGAAAGATAAAGACCAATACAGTATACTAATGCATATATATGGAATTTAGAGCAAAACAGAAAAAGAGACACAGATGTACAGAACAGAATTTTGGACTCTGTGGGAGAAGGCAAGGGTGGGAT